AGAGGGTTACTGAATGAGGTGTTTGAGAGGAGGAGGTAGGAAGTGAACAGATAACAGTTGAACCTAGACTTGACGAGGTTAAGATTATAGCATCTATGGAAGAATCTACACGGGTGTCTGTTCGACAAAGCAGCAGTTCTTTTCAAAGAAACTTTCTGAGTAGACCATCCCTCTTACCAATGGAATACACAGGGGAAATGAGGATGATTCGACCCTGTGGATGTAGCAAGGTGGATCTTGGTTGTAAAGGGCTAAACTGGTGGCACGAAAGAATGGAGCTCATCTGAACATTTGCCATCAGCTGAGAACATTTCAGCATCTCTTTTAATCATCAGCCAATGTTTTGCCAACCATTCGAATAAACAATACAATAAATAAATAGTGTAAATAAACAATATGATAAATTTAAGTAGTTTTTAATATTGTTGTTGTAAATTCTCAAGAACAAAAAATATTTATAAATTCATCATCATCATCATCATCACCATCATCATCATCATCCTCCTCCTCCTCCCCCCCCCCCCCTTTGATTTTTGTAATCTCAGCAGGGATCCAAATGCAGAAGCCATATTGAATCTCCTCCACAATGGTCTATCAATGACAGCCATCAACAATTCTGTATAGTCATACTTGTCCATTTTTTGACATTGTCCAACCAGTTTTTGCATTGGCGTCTTCTCCTACGTCCACCTTCAACAGTGTCTTTCATGATGGTCTTGCACAGACTGTTGTGCATTGTAACGTGTCCAAACCATGTCATTTTTTCTCTATTTGACAGTGGCAAAAAGAGATTCCTGGTGTCTCACAAAACTTTTAACCCTTTTCTGAACCAACTCATTCGTTTTATGTTCCCAATAGATGATGCCAAGGAGTTTTCTCATTTATAATTTCACTTTCATGTTTAAGTTTTATCAAAATTCAAATCATCACTTTTTAAAAGAATAAACATTGTTGAGGATGGAAGGTAGTTAAAATAATAGCAGTGTCAAGGTAATTACCATCCTTTTGACACTCCATGTTTTTAGCAGGCATGAAGGTTTGAGTTTGACAAAAAATATTTTTAAGTATTGCTGATAGGACAGATATCGCAAAACTATCAAATGAAATCATTTTGAAAGGATTTTTTTGTTTTAATCAAATTCACCCCTGCAAGACAGTAAAGCCACCAAGATACAAAGGGTTACTGGGTGTGGAAGAGTTAGAAAGACGAACATTGCTAAGGAGCGAGAACAGAGGAAGGGTAATGAGGAGGACAGCAGTTAACGATTAACATGACATTTAAATTTTTGAAGATTAAAGTAGGCTGGAAAGCAGCGAAGTTCCACAAGTCAGAAGTGCGAGAAAAGAAACTGTTAACATAGAATTTACAGTTACATGTAGCTAGCTTAACTGTAAATTGGTAAGACTTTATCACCACTCTAGTCTTGGAACTAAAGTGAAGAGCTCATTCAAACAGTTACTATGAAATTATTTATAGAAAGGACAATGGGAGGTGACATTATGGTGGTGGAAAAGTGACTTAAATAGAGATGCCATATTGGGGCCAATAATATAGCAGATTAAATTTTATAAAGGACCTCTAGGAAGATAGCAGGAGCACCAAACCACATGTGGCAGCAATATTCTAGACATCAATGAATGGTAGATTTATAGATATGTAAGAATGGTAGACTTAGAGATATGCAAGAATGCTAGACTTATTGATATGTAAGAATGGTAGACTTATTGATATGTAAGAATGCTAGACTTATTGATATGCAAGAATGGTAGACTTATTGATATGTAAGAATGCTAGACTTATTGATATGCAAGAATGGTAGATTTATAGATGTGTAAGAATAGTAAACTTACAGATATGTAAGATAGATTCTGGAGAGAAAAACTGTCTTGCATGACACAGTGAACCAACTTTCCTGGCAGTTGACTTAGCAATGGATTCAGTGTAATCGTTCTACTTCATGTCAATGGGAGGTGAAATTATGGTGGTGGATAAGTGACTTAAGTAGAGATGCCATATTGGGACCAATAATATAGCTGATTGAATTTTATAAAGGACCTCTAGGAAGATAGCAGGAGCACCAAACCATATGTGGCAGCAATATTCTAAACATCAATGAATGGTAGATTTATAGATATGTAAGAATGGTAGATTTAAAGATATGCAAGAATGCTAGACTTATTGATATGCAAGAATGCTAGACTTATTGATATGTAAGAATGCTAGACTTATTGATATGTAAGAATGCTAGACTTATTGATATGTAAGAATGGTAGATTTATAGATGTGTAAGAATGGTAGATTTATACATGTGTAAGAATGGTAAAGTTACAGATATGTAAGATAGATTCTGGAGAGAAAAACTGTCTTGCATGACACAGTGAACCAACTTTCCTGGCAGTTGACCTAGCAATGGATTCAGTATAATCGTTCCACTTCATGTCAGCCAAGAACGTTAGCACAAGAAGGCGCAGGGAGTCACTCTCCTGGAGGTCAGCATCAGCCATGCTGATGTTATCTGAGATGAGTAATGGAGAGCAGTTTAGCTTTGTAAGCGTTGATACTAAACACTCCTAATGGAAAAATAGAATGAACTTTCTGGCCAGTTGAACAGAATAAGAGATGGCTCAACAACAACATGGAAATAGAAAATTATTCTCATTATCATGAAGCGGGGGCAACCCTTTGTAAGACTGATGATAAAAGCAAGTAGAAGTAATAAGTATCTAATGTGTTCTGGGAAGTGAAGAAAAGAGGCTAATTCTATAATGTTTCAAAAGAAGCAGTGGTTCGTTACTTCACAATGATGGAAACAAATGGTATCACTTGATCTAGGGAGGGGGAGGTTTTCTCTCAGAATCCTACTTGCTAAACATTAAAGTCTCATTCATACAAATGCATATCAGCTTAAGACACACATATATAATGTATATATAATTTTAGTGTTCTCAGGTTTTGCTGAGTCTAAGTTGCTATAGTATACAGAATAAAGACTAGCTTATATTAAACTGAGAGATACAGTTAGGCATAAATATATCTTCTTCTATGTGAAGAGAGTGTAGGTGATCATGTCTCTCCACAATTTCCTGTCCTGTGTAGCTCTTTGTAAGCTTTGTCTTATAGCTGTCTCTCCTAATCTCTGTTCTGCCAACAATTTACAAAAGTTCTTTCTTCTATGTGCTGTGTCCATTCAGGATGTGAGCGATCATGTCTCTCCACAACTTCCTATCCTGTGTATCTCTTTTGTAAGCTTTGTCATTTTCCTGTCTCTCCTAATCCCTGTTCTTCCAACCATTTACACAAGCTCTTTTTTATATATACTGCATTCATGATATGGGTGATCATGTCTCTCCACAACTTCCTATCCTGTGTATCTCTTTTGTAAGCTTTGTCATTTTCCTGTCTCTCCTAATCCCCTGTTCTTCCAACCATTTACACAAGCTCTTTTTTTATATATACTGCATTCATGATATGGGTGATCATGTCTCTCCACAACTTCCTGTCCTGTGTAGCTCTTTTGTAAGCTTTGTCTTTTGCTGTCTCTCCTAATCCCTGTTCTTCCAACCATTTACACAAGCTCTTTTTTATATATACTGCATTCATGATGTGGGTGATCATGTCTCTCCACAACTTCCTATCCTGTGTAGCTCTTTTGTAAGCTTTGTCATTTTGCTGTCTCTCCTAATCCCTGTTCTTCCAACCATTTACACAAGCTCTTTTTTATATATACTGCATTCATGATATGGGTGATCATGTCTCTCCACAACTTCCTGTCCTGTGTAGCTCTTTTGTAAGCTTTGTCTTTTTGCTGTCTCTCCTAATCCCTGTTCTTCCAACCATTTACACAAGCTCTTTTTTATATATACTGCATTCATGATGTGGGTGATCATGTCTCTCCACAACTTCCTGTCCTGTGTAGCTCTTTTGTAAGCTTTGTCATTTTGCTGTCTCTCCTAATCCCTGTTCTTCCAACCATTTACACAAGCTCTTTTTTATGTATACTGCATTCATGATGTGGGTGATCATGTCTCTCCACAACTTCCTATCCTGTGTATCTCTTTTGTAAGCTTTGTCATTTTGCTGTCTCTCCTAATCCCTGTTCTTCCAACCATTTACACAAGCTCTTTTTTATATATACTGCATTCATGATGTGGGTGATCATGTCTCTCCACAACTTCCTGTCCTGTGTAGCTCTTTTGTAAGCTTTGTCTTTTTGCTGTCTCTCCTAATCCCTTTTCTTCCAACCATTTAAACAAGCTCTTTTTTATATATACTGCATTCATGATATGGGTGATCATGTCTCTCCACAACTTCCTGTCCTGTGTAGCTCTTTTGTAAGCTTTGTCTTTTTGCTGTCTCTCCTAATCCCTGTTCTTCCAACCATTTACACAAGCTCTTTTTTATATATACTGCATTCATGATGTGGGTGATCATGTCTCTCCACAACTTCCTGTACTTTGTTTTTCTTTGTAAGTTATTTTTTGCTCTCTCTTTCCTAGTTTAAGTTCTGCCAACCGTCTACACAAGCTTATTAGGTAGGTTATTCACTGTTTTCTTCTATATGCCCTGTTAGTGTTAAATTTTCTAAGCTGTCTTTCCTCATTGTTTTCCTAAAAACTTCAGCTGTCTCTTTCTGATTCTAAATGTATATATGTCCTTTTTGTTTCCATTTTCCTTGAAATTCTGTTTCAGCATTTCTCCAGCTTCTACTATTTCCATGTGCCAAATCTGTTCAGAATGTGAACGATCATGTCTCTCCACAATTTCCTGTCCTGTCTAGCTCTTTGTAAGTTTTTATCTTTTAGCGGCCTCTACTAATCCCTGTTCTGCTGCCAACCATTTACACAAGTTCATTAGGTAAGTTATTCACTGCTATCCTTTGTCCCTTTTACCTTATATTTGTCCTGTGAGTGTCAAATTTTCTAAGCCCTCTTTCCTTACCCTAGCCATTTCAGCTGTCTTTTTCTGATTCTAAGTGACCATTTTGTTTCTATTTTCCCTAACGGCAACATCATGTAGAAAACACCAGTTCCTGTATGATCACCAAAGTTAAGCAATATTGAGCCTAATCAGTAACTAGATGGGTGACCACTTGGGAAAACCAAGTTCTGTAAGCTTGGATGTGCAAGTGGAAAAGGCTTATGGCAACATCATGTTGAAACACTGGTTCCCATATGATCACCGAAGTTAAGCAACATTGAACTTGGTCAGTACCTAGATGGGTGACTGCTTAGAAAGACCAGGTTTTGTAAGCTTGGATGTAGAAGTGGAAATGGCTTATGGCAACATCACATTGAAATATTGGTTTCTGTATGATCACTGAAGTTAAGCAACATCAAGCCTGGTCATTACTTAGATGGGTGACCACTTGGACATACCAGGTTCTGTAAGCTTGGATGTATAAGTGGTTTAATGGATATTGGCTATGAATTGTTAATCAGGCAATCGACTTGTAATTCCACTTGGATTTGTTATATTCATTCAAGCACAAATACCCATGGGAAAATTATGAATCCAACCATTCTCCCCCTACCTATGGATTAATTAGTAAAATTTGTTTCACTAATGCTATTATTATCTAAAAAAACCTTTCTTAAAGGTATTTGCACAAAAGTGAATATAACAAACCCAATTGGAACATGTTGCTGTACGAAAGAGGTTTTATCCCTTTATTTTTCCTTTCCTGTCTGTTGTCCATATTATGACCAACACTTCTTTCTCAATATTTGAGTAGTAGTTTGGATATTTGGATATTAGAAAGAAAAATCATTACATATAATAGACACAAAATGTCTATTGTTTTTAACAAAAAAAGTGTTCTTTAATGTTACCTACTCACGGGAAGTAGTATGCACTCAACTACATCATGGGTAATAGCTGTAGCTATTTATAGTTTTTGTGACTTCATATATAAATGTCACCTCATCTCACTGCTTGAAGAGGTTTTATCCCCTTATATTCGCTGGTACTACTTCTGGGAGTTTTTGTCTCCTCACTATCTTCTTCCCTCTTTCTAAGACATTGTCTAGGAGTGTTCCGCCAACTATTATTCTTGTTCATCTTCAGATTCTATAGTACTCCTAATTTCACTGTCTAGTTTGTCTTGCCTTGACATAACACTTTCTCCTTCATTAAGGCTTGTTAAACATTTCTTCATCATTATCATGTTGCAATCTAACCTGATCTACGTGTTAATATCCTATTTCCATTTCTTTCTATTATCATAATGTTTGCATTATGAATCTTGCCTCTTGTAGATTAGATTCACTATTCTTTTTGTACCAAAGTTTTTTGTTGGTAGCATAGGACATGGTCAATGTGGCCCTAATTTGCTTACCCATGAGGGCAGATAGACTTTTCAATATGTGGTATTGTCCTATAACTTAGCAACAACCTTGGAAGAAATGTTTCTGTCATTTCTTTCTATTGTACACATGTTTTCAATCTGTTTCTTATATGTTGTAGCATACCTACGGATGATAATGGGTATGTCCCCATTCACATAAATACAGTAGTCAATACTGTATGTTGGTCTGCAGTTAGAAATTCGTCTCCAGCTATGCTGGTCAAACACTCTGCTTCTGGGCAAAAAGGATCCCAAACAAGGCCATGTCAAGGGGCAGAGTTAAACAGTATCCTTTGTGTTGTAGCATACCTGCGGACGATAATGGGTATGTCCGCATTCACATAAATACAGTAGTAAATACTGTATGTTAGTCTAGAGTTGGAAATTCATTGTGGAATTCGCTTGACTCACTTCTAACAGTTGAGTACTTGTTCTATGCACTGCTGGCAAATCTTATATGTGTTGTTCTTGTCCTAAGTATTATCGTTCATTAGCAACAGACAGTACTCGACTGTAATGGAAGTTGAGTCTGACTGACAAAACTGTTAACCTGGTCAAGTTGGTAGATGGTTTATATGGCAGCCTGGCAGATTTCATTCTGATACCCAGGCAAGCCTATTCTGCAAGCCCTGATTGGCTTCTGATTCCATTGTAGATACTGTGCTCAATAAATACCCATCAGTATACTGTGAATCTCTGGGAATATGTATTGAGTTAAAACCCATTTTATTTTTATCTGCCAGCTGGATGCTAGTTGGGAAACTCCTTGCCAGGGTAAGCCTCAAATTCCTGATTGTTCAGTTACAATATTATAGGCTGCAACATCCTTTCTGCCAATCCGTTTGATTGAGGATGGTACAGAGGGATTTTATATGGTTTTGTCCAACCATTGACATAGTTCATTGTCAAAGAATGCTGGGGTGTTGTTAGATACTAGTGTTTTTGGAATTCCATTTCTTGAATTATGAACCTTAAGACTTGTTTCATGGTTGAAATTGAGACCTGTATTGCTTCTGGCCATCCTGTATATGAATCGAGTAGTAATTATCCCACTCCTTTAACATGGGCATGATTCATGTGTACGTTGTTCCAAAGTTGGGACTCTTTAGGTTATGTATATGTTTTTGTCTGTCTAAATCTACTTCTGACATTGGACATTTTGCACCTTTTTTATGTATTCTTCTACATCTGTAGAATAGCCTGGCCACCACATCTCTTGACTTAATCTCCTTTTGGGTAGACGTTATTCTGCAACAAACATTGTCATGTACACTTTTTATAATTTCACTCCTTTGTGTTGCTCTACATCTCCATTACAAATTACTCCCTTTTCTATGGTTAACTTGTGTTTAAGCTCTTTATAATGCCTTTCTGCTCATGGTCAATTATTCCACTTATTATTTTTTATCCTGAACAATATCCTGTTCAATATTGGATCTTGCTTCATTTCCTAAGCTAATTTGTCTATCAACAAAATATCAGTTTCGGCCCAGTGTAAGAAAGAATCTTCGAATGGTACCTCCTCTTTCTCACTTTCAGAAATAATGGCTCTTAGTCTCAACAAAGCACTCGATGAGGAATGGTATTATCTTTCATGTACTCAATATCAAAGTCAAATGCCATTAACATTATGGCCCATCTTAAAATTCTAGTTGGGAAACTCCTTGCCAGGGTAAGCCTCAAATTCCTGATTGTTCAGTTACAATATTATAGGCTGCACCATCCTTTCTGCCAATCCGTTTGAGGATGGTACAGAGGGTTTTGTCCAACCATTGACATAGTTCATTGTCAAAGAATGCTGGGGTGTTGTCAGATTTCTTCCTAGGATTAAATATAAATTCTAAAGGTCTATGGTCGGACCTAAGTACAAATTTCTTTCCAATCAGAAACTAACAAGCTCTATTTGTCGTCCATATTATCGCTAACACTTCTTTCTCAATATTTGAGTAGTTCAGTTCAGCTTTTAACAATTTTCTCAAAAGATGCATAATAGGATGACCATCCTGAGCTAATATTCCCGCCATTGAGTGTTCACTTCTTACTACTAATTCCTTTCTACGGTCAAATATTTTTAATACTGGCTTTTTTGCAAGAACAGTATTTAAATTTTCAAATGCCACTTGCCATTCTATTGTTCAAATAAATTCCACATTCTTTTTATCTTAAAGCAACAAAAAATTCTATCAACATATCATCTGTAGAAATTTACAAACCCTAATAAAGATTGCAATTCTTTTTTGTTCTTAGACCCCCCAACTTTTAATTTGTTGTCAATTGGTCTGGTGATATGCCTTCATTTCATATGGAATATCCCAAAAATATTTTTTTAGTGTTATGGGCACATTTTTTTTTCATTAATTGTTAATCCAGCATTTTTTGAATTATTCAAAACTATACTGGTTTTCCATTTTAATTCTTCGTCATTAATATCTATCATAATATGGTGCTGCTGATAAGATATTTAACCATAATGGAAGATCCAGAATATGTGGAAACCTGGCTTAAGGGTTTCACAACATCAATGAGAGTAAAAATGTTAAAGAAAACCAAAGCTAGTGGTGCAGAAAATGAAGTTACAGATTTGTTTTTGGTCTCAGCGGGGTGTGAGGCCATTAAAAAATCTCCATTATGGCTTATCCCAAAGTGTTGGAAGATTTAGTGTATAAAGAAATTCCTACCATCATATTAGCAAATAGTATGATCAAAAAAAAAATGGCCATAGCAGAAAGAACTAAATTTCTTGAAAGTAGACAAAGACAGGGTGAAACTATTATACAATATGTACAGCAATTGAAAGAAGTGTCGAGATATTGTGAATTCGAAAGAATGGGATTGGAACAAATGTCTATCGAAGATGAACTAATTGTGCAAAGAGTGATTGAAGGAATGTTTGATATCATGTACAAACGTAAAATTCTAGAGCAGCTTCAAGCTCACATTATGAATCTTGAAGTATGGGTGGAGTTCTTACAACAATTAGAATTGATTCAAAAATTTAATGCCTCCGAAGACAGCATGGAGACTTACACTGCTACTAAAAGCTTACTTCTATACAGATATTGTAATAAGGAACATGAAAAGAGCAATATCTGTCTATACTTCTGAGATGAGGTATTATATACACTATTTACATTATTCGGACTATTGTCCTCATCTTTGTTGCCATATTAATCCGATCCTTCAATATCTGTCTATATTTCTGAGATAAGATATTATGTACACTATTTACATTATTTGGACTATTGTCCTCATCTTTGTTGCCATATTAATCCGATCCTTCATTATCTGTCTATATTTCTGAGATGAGGTATTATGTACACTATTTACATTATTCGGACTATTGTCCTCATCTTTGTTACCATATTAATCTGATCCTTCATTATCTGTCTATACTTCTGAGATGAGGTATTATGTACACTATTTACATTATTCGGACTATTGTCCTCATCATTGTTGACATATTAATCCGATCCTTCCATATCTGTCTATATTTCTGAGATGAGGTATTATGTACACTATTTACATTATTCGGACTATTGTCCTCATATTTGTTGCCATATTAATCCGATCCTTCAATATCTGTCTATATTTCTGAGATGAGGTATTATGTACACTATTTACATTATTCGGACTATTGTCCTCATCTTTGTCGCCATATTTATTACAGCGTTTCGGCCGTTGTAAGCTCCGGCCTTCTTCAGGTGGTTGAAATGTCAAACTGAACCCTTTCACTTGCTGGGGTAGACTGTTCTAGTTCCATGTGCCATGTTTAATGCATGTCAGTTATCAGTTATCACCTTTTAATTCCCGTCTCTAAGGGTTCAGTTCAACATTCCAACCACCTGAAGAAGGCTGGAGTGTACAACAGCCAAAACGTTGTAATAAATATGGCGATGAAAAGAGCAAA